GGGAAGGGAAGGGAAGGGAAGGGAAGGGAAGGGAAGGGAAAGGACAATGCTGATCTCATCTGGCTTAGCAGTTGCTTTTCTCCATTCACAGTCGAAGCTGACCCACCTACAGCCCATTCTGTTAAGCCATACTATGATTTATTTGTTTGGGTGTAGCATGTTATGTGTCTAGACAGTTGTGTATTGTTCGATGGGTTTAGGATATTATGGCAACCCAGCCTACAGGTATGAGTGCTCCTCAGACATTAGAGTGCCAATGCATTCATTTCCTGAAACTGTATATGGTGCATGTACACACACACACCTTGTCACAGCACCAGGAAGGATCAGATCGATGGGTCGATTGGATTTGTCTGTTGAAGCATTTGATGTTACATGAAGGCAGCTCATTCCAGTGGTTGTTAATTGCCCATTGTAGTGATCAGGTCTGTAGCAACATCGATCTCACAAGGATCAATGGAGCTGATTTAGTGTCTTACTAACTCTTTAACAGGACACCTCATCAATAGCCAGCCACTTACAGATCATCAGTGCATTATTGCAGGACCCCATTGTCAAGACCCCACACTGGCACTAACCCACTTCCCGCTTGCCAGTCAAATTGCATTGTTCCTGTAAGTGAGATATTTGCCAGAACAGGGCAAAACTCAACCTTCTGGGATGTACATCTGGGAAGTCCATCTAAACTTATCCATAGGAGTGTGATTTTTTAAAACTCTGTGGGGAAGAGCCGTTGCTGAGTAGTGAAAGCACTCACTTTTTTACATGCAGACAGTTCCAAAGTCAAGCTCTGCCACCTTCAGGAAGAGCATTAAACCAGTGTTAGCAAGACTAGACCAATGGGCGAATGTTCTGACTCCCTAGAAGGCAGTTTTCTACTTTTCAATGCATTGATCTTCAATTTGTTTCAAGTAGGTTCCCCGTCTATTCCATATTCAGTACTAGTCATCCACTCTTCCTGTTGAAAATCTAGTTTGTTAACTGAAGGTTGACTGGAACATAGAACCCCTTCAGAGAAACAAGCTCTACTTGATGTCCAATGTATGAAGACTGCAAGCTGGACTATCAGTGAAACAAAGGTCAGTTGAGCCATAACTTTGGCGAAGTTTGCACTATTTTGGTACGCATAGAAGCAACTTGAGATGTCTGTCTGAAGTATAGCGTTAAATTGATCATGGGTTTGAGGACTTCTATCTTAACATACTGCCAGAGACCAAATGCTTCCCATAGGGATAACAGCAAGTCCATACATTTAACAGAAAAGGGTCAGTATTGAGAGGCACAAGTTCAGTTCCAGGGCTGTACGAGCACTTGGAGGCAGCCTAAAAGGTTTGCCTGAAGTTCCAATTTGTAAGGCGACAGAAAAGGAACATAACACAATACATGGCAGGTAATTGTATTAACTGAAATTCTATTCCATTTTGATTCAATTTCAATTAAAATGAATCCAATTCAGGTTTAGACTTAATTCCACCCCTGCAACCCCTGGTCCTCAGCTTAAAAATGTATGCTCAGCCACAGGTAGATATTTTAGCAGAAGGTCCCCCAAGACTTCTGTGCACTCACCTGGTACCTATAAAATGTTAGCCAGTATTAATTGGTGGCTAATGCTGCATTCCACGGCAAGGGAATTTGTGGCATATGCAGCTTGTGAGAAACATTTCCCTTCTTCAGCATCTGTTTGTTGTGCATGTTGAGCGTCTTCCTCCTGACAGGTCCTGGCAAACTAATCATCCTTCATTTTCCAGCTTCAGCTGGAGTCCTGACCTTCTGGTGGAATGCAAGATGGGGAGGGACTGAAAGATCAGCTTTTGTGAATAACTGATTGTGAGGAACAGTTGGATGTGACTAGCATTCCTCCCAGCATCGCTTCTGAAACAGATGGATGCTCGGATGCCTGTTTGTAAGCTGTTGTTCTTCAGAGGCTTGTTTGTCACACATCCTAAGAGAATTACTCGACAACTTACAAAGCCAACCTCTCCCAAATGCATGGAACCAACTGCCAGAATCCCTAGCCACACAGGAGAGTCAGGGATTCTGGAGTTAACGTCCAAGACATAGGAAGGGCTCCAGGTTGCTGAAGGCTCTTCTAAGTTAGCCAAAATGTAAAGGCCTTGTTGACAGGGAATTGCCATCCTATGGCTCCTATGGGGTGAATCTGAGAAAATGTTTGTGATCCAAGAGAAGGCCAGGAGCTGTTCCTCGTGTCTTGCCAAGGAGAAGTCAAGGAGAGGTTTCCTTTGGCCTCAAGGGCCCTTGACTGGGTTGCATTAAGACCTGCTTAATATTTGCCAAGTGACAGATGGGCAGAAGTGTGGGTGGTGAATCCCACTGACATCAGCTCCTGTTTCAGATAATTCCCCTCGGAATGAGGCATTTATTTCTCTCTAATTTTCACTCTCTTGAGCTTTGTGTGGCCTAAAGCTCCCACATGGCTTTTACACCCCTGCTTAGCAACTAAGGGGGTGGGGTGGGGTGGG